AAATTTACCGATAACCTCAACAGGGGCCCTGTAAAAATATGAGCTTTTTTCAAGACATCTTCATCCCCCCCCCCCTCGGTGTAATAAATGTACTTTCCCTTACTATGAAATGTATTGTAATTTTTGTTTTTGGGACGCGAGTCCCAAAAACAATCTTTTAATCAGTAATTTCACGATTTTCGAAAGCTTAGTATTCGATTGGTATTCATGTAAACGTCTTCAAACTTTGTATACTTACTAATTTTGAGGTGGTCTTTTTAGTTATTTGGTCCATTTCTTAATTTGGGCACTTTTTAACACTCGTCCCCAGTCCTCTCATCAACTTCGGAATGGCTAATTACGGTGGTCCTTAATTGTGGTCCCTTTGATTGAATCTCATACAGATCGAAACTTTACCTATTATTTGATCATTGGTATCCAGTTTCATATACATCAACATATATTTTCACTCAAATAAGTAAGCTCGAAGTCTCTCTGATCCAGCGGTGCCTAAATTACTTTGAATTTATACTTGAGTAAAAGTAGAAGTAATTAAGAATAAAACGACTTGAGTAAGAGTAAAAAGTACTGGAGGCAAAACGTACTTAAGTAAAAAGTACAAAGTATCCTTAAAAAATACTTGAAGGTACAAAGTAAAAGTACTATTGTCTGTAGAGTGTAGGGGGGGGGGACTTCTCCATTCATGGATTGAGATACAAAACAGCACACGCATTATAAATGTACAATATTTCACGGCATGGTCTACTTTCCAGACCCCGCTGAAGATATAAGAAATCCATTAAATAAATAATGCTTATAAGTAAGCCACAAACGAGATATCCCAAACGCATGTAGAGGTCCTATTACCTATCCCAAAAGTAAAATAAATTGGGAATAAATTACGTAAAATTAAACAAAAGTTAGAAAGTCACGAAATACTTCGCCACAAAATGAAAATAACGAAGTAAAACGTTACTTCTTAAAACGACTTCTTTCCAAGTAAAAGTACTGCAGAAAAAGTTTACTTTGTTACATGCTCACTTCTCAAAAATAGTACTCAAGTACAGTAACGAAGTACATTTACTTCGTTACTTGACACCACTGCTCTGATCTCAGTTCAATCAGTTTTGGGAGTGTCAGTGTAACGCAATATTTTCAATACATGATGACGTAAATAACCTCAGCCTACGTAAACGGGATCCACAGGAATCCTTACTGGACTATTGATTGTCAAAATAGATTTAGTTCTGCCTTTTATTTCAACTTCACTGACAATTACATTTCAAAAGTAACATTACGTTTCTTTAAATATGTAGCGCGGTTTATAATAGGGCCCCATCTATACGACTACGTGATCACTAAATTCCAAAAGGGGCTGTCCAGTCCGGCTGGCTTGGATTAATCGTGTCACGGTTAACTGGGCCAGTCGGCCTCCATATGAACAGCCCTTAATTTAAGTCAGAGAAAAGTGTTATGTTTAGTAATAGTAAAACTTTAGAAATTTCTTAAACATCTGTCAGATTATGTGGCCTGTATTTATAGTACTGACGAAGTTTAGAATTTGCCGAAGAATTAAAAGCACTTAGACAAATATAAATTTTGAATAGAAATGCGATATCTCTGACTGATTATCGAACACTATAAAAAATAGTTTTATACGTAAAAGGAATGATTTGAATCACTTAGACATAATATTTAATCAATGTAATAATATTTAATCAATAATTATATACACATGATAAAATTGCCCAAAACTGTGCGACATTTCATCAAGAACTCAAGACACCACGAGGCACGACTATCCTGTTTCGTTCAGGAAAGCGAAGCGGATGCAGAATTGCTCGTGACCTTTTCAACTTTTTTTCATGATAAGAACTACCGCTTCTTGACATTCTCACCAAATTTCCTACCCACACTTCATACAATTAATATTAAGCGACTTTCTAACCAAATATGTCTCTCTGTCTGACTATTTTAAACTGCCAGTACAATTATTAATGACTGCAGGGATGGATTAAGGAAGATTTTTTCAGAAACAAAATCTTCTTTATTCTTTAATTCAATTATTAAAGAAGATTAAAGAAAATTAAAGAAGATTTTGTAAAACTTGACTCTTTTAATGTGAAATCTTAACCACTATTTACAATTTTGCATAATAAATTCCAGTAAATGGAATAGAAACATATAAATATAAACCTTATTAAGACCCAACACCTTAAATTATTAAAAACTAGTCAACATAAAAATTAAAGAACACCAAATTATTAAAAGTAATAATGAGGAAGCCTTATTTTCAGTAGACCAATCATGTGCTTGAACGCATTAGAAACAATAAATAATGAGGCATTTCAAGCTGATTATCCATTAATTGTTTTTAATCAATGCGTTCGGCACATGAGAAGCACGACGTTTGAAACAGGCTATATTGATTCTTTGAACACTAAATTCTTTAATCAAGTTTTATGCGGAAAAAATTTGTGTATGTTTTTATTTTTAACCACAATACCATAAAAGCCATATGGTTTCTAGTAGGCTCCTATTGCAATATATGATCTCATATATCAATGTTTTTGGCGAACTTAATTAATTAAGAAAAAGGGTAAACTATTGAAAACAATCGCCACACACCCATATTAGGTTTCATGGCCACTTCCCACGTTTTGTTGACAGAATCTCATCGCCCCACATGCCATTCATAATTCAGTCGTTCAGGCTGTTTATAAATCTGGTTTATAAAATATACCGCAATGTATCGAATATATCGCACCGACTTTGCGGACCACTAAAGGGCCCTAAAGCTGGAGTAACATGAGCAACAAAATTGCTGCAACTTGCAACAAAATCTGATTTCAACGCATGTTAAATGTTACAGTGTAAAATGTTAGATTGTTGCCTTGTGATTTGTAACTTATGTGTAACTTGATTTTCAATTAACATGCGTAGAAATTAGATTTTGTTGCAAGTTGGCAGCAATTTTGTTGCTCTTGTAGTTACACGTTTGACATGCATATAAAAGAAGAGGTGGTATTATCTGTCTTCTATAGTTCTATTTCATCATGTTTTAGTTATTGTATTTGTGGTCAAGCATGATTTCGAATAAAATTAATCCTGACTACCTTTCAACACTATAAACAAGGTAATTTTACACCGAAATAAGATCTAAACTAGAATCCCACAATATACTGCAAATTATATGAAATTATCATGTCGGAATATACATAATTTTGACATTTCTATCATGAAATTGTTTATACACCACAGGTGTACAAAACAAATGTTTAAAATTTTGAACGTTTCGAAAAGAAGTGTGAGATCGAGCATCATGGGATCATTTATAGCTAATTTCCGTCGCAGCAAGAAGCACTTCCTGCTATTGTTGTATGTTGTAGTGAGAAATATGCAAATAGACTAAATACAAAATAATTATTCAAAACAAATATTACAAGAGAAATTTTCCAAACAGTAAATCAGTGTTATATAATGAGGTTTAAAACTTTGGCTGAGTCATTACTATTAAGCTTGAAACTGAAACACTTAAGAAAAGTTGACAAAGTTCTCGAAGATACGAGTTGATTCCGGATTGGATCGATCACTCCCTTACCCTTACCCATTCACTTCCCCTACAGCTTCCATTTCGCATTTAGTTTGGTTCCCAAATATGAAAAATTTATAGTAAAATAGGAAATACTAGTAGAATCGAGCCGATTCATTTCCTATCGCACGTAAAAGACCGACTGGGTTCAAAACTTCAAACGAAGTGGCACAGATATTGCAGTCATGAGAAACAGATATATGTTTCAATATCGTACAGTCTAGAGAATCACATGCTAAAATAAGAATGAAAGTCGAAAATAAAAGTGTCAGTTTTATTACTAAATGGAACAAAATTAGAACTTTAATTAGTAGAATTCTAATTGCATCGGAAATGTTACAACTGATGCAATGTCGCAATTTATATGTATATGTTATATTTACATTGGTGAAGAGTTTTATGGTTTATTTTTAACTAAATGTGGAAAAGGAACAGGATTTCGATGTAAATGACGTCGTTGATCTTTTTAGTACCTAGCTGTAACAGGACGCTCGTCGCTCGACATAGGACATGCATCGCCGCATTCATTAGCTTCAAATAATATGACATAAACATTCGATTATTTCGCTGTTTCAAAAATAAACCTCCAACTTACAATAAAGCGACAACTTATCGTTTGTAATCGGAACTCTATCGTAAAAGTACTATGTTTAGAAACATTATATGCGGTTTCATCCACGTTTCAGCGGGAAACGTGGCAAGTTTGGCGTAGCGGAAGCTGAGTGATTATTCGTCTGACATTCGATGAAGCCAATCAATAAAATTTCAATATTTCAGCCGAATTTTCTTGCCGATTCATACGTATTTTGTGGCGTATTTGTGGCCAGTTTGAAAGTATTGCTTCTTAGGAATACTTCGCATGAGTTTGGACTTGTTTAAGGGAGGAAAGCCAACATAAAACAATAAATTTTTACCGAAACCGGAAAAAATACTTGAAATCACCTGACGTGTGTATAGCTCAGCATGAATGTCAATGTTGCGTCATATTGTATTGTGTATAAATACAACTCGGTTTGTACTTCCTAATTTAGTGTCACCAAAAACGTGGCTTTTGTGTGTTGGGTGAACTATACGGAATATTTTGGCCAGTAAGCCTAGTTTTCCTCAAAGGATGGCAGATTCAAAGCAAAAGGGAGAAGTTTTAAGTGAAATTCAGACACCGAGTGTTATAATAACTCCGGCTGAATCAAGTCATGTTAGTTCGTCTACAAGCGAAGACGAACACGACAACCATTATATGGCCTCTAATGGAAGTCTTATCGAGTCTCATTCGGAAAATGAATTCACAAAGGCAAGCACGAGCCCTTATCAACCGCCGAGCGACGAAATAAAAGCGAAGATTAAAACGCAAGTGGAGTTCTACATGAGCGACGAGAATTTGACGAAGGATGCGTTCCTTTTAAAACATGTCCGCCGTCACAAAGAGGGCTTCGTGAATTTAAAGTTGATAACTTCGTTTAAAAAAGTTAAAAACATTACGAAAGACTACAGAGTTGTCGCAGAGAGTATTAAAGATTCAGAACTGTTAGTTATGAACTCTGAGGGAACTAAAATTCGTCGTAAGAAAGCGTTAGATCGAGAGTTGGGTGAGCGAAATCCTGGTCGAACTGTCGTTGCAACAAAACTACCGTTGCAAGAGCCTAGTATCGAAAAAGTAGCGGAAATATTCTCAAAGTATGGGCCAATTTCTGTCGTTCGTATCATAAGGAACGGTAAGAATGTCCCTCCCGAATGCAAACAGCATTTCGCCAGTCATCCGGAACTTGGCAAGGAGGTGTGTGCGATTGTTGAATTCGAGACAATGGCCGCTGCAGCGAGGGCGTGTGCTGAGTTGAAAAATGATGGGGGTGATATGAAAGTCACTGAACTTCTTCGCGGCTCGAGTAAGAATAACAAAAGCAAAAAAGATAAGGAGAACCTGCCTGATACCGCAGACTCAGATCATGTTAAGAACTCGGACGAGGAGAAAACGGGAAAACGTCGCCGCAAGAAAAAGAAGGGTAACTGCGACAAAAGAGTAGTCGAGCTCGTTAAAGGATCTGGAGATGAAGGTCACACAAGTTCATCGGATAACGAGAATAATACCTACTCCTCGTTTAGTAGCTACAGGAAACGATATTCGGGTTCCTCGGATGGTCATAGTCCACGGTTAAGGCGAACCAATCAGAGAGCATCGCCTGGCGTGAGCAGCTCCAGTCCTGGAACCAGCCCTGAGATGCGAAGACGCAACCCTGATGCATCGTGGAGACAGAGTCCGGGGTACTCGTCAGACAACAGTAGCCCTACCCGTAGCCCTGCCATGCAGCGAAGGTTCACATCCCAAGGACAAAGCCCATTGGCTGCAAATGCCGACCACAAAATGACCCAATCCTTAGGAGTGTTACGACAGCCAAAAGGACCTGACGGCACTCGTGGCTTTACCGTGGCTGGTCGAGGACGTATGGTTGGTGTTAGTGCTTGAAATGAACAATAGTTTATTGTATATATAATGTATCATTTTCAAAGTAATATTTATTCATGATAAATTAGTTGTTGTTAAAAAAATCAATAGTTAGGGCTTAATTTACAGTTGGAACACCGAGAGTAGCACAGTAGGCCCAACCCTTGGGTTTCTGCAAAGATAGAAGTCTTAATATTTATTCTCATATAATGTAAGATAACAGAAAGTGTGTACATAGAGAATATGACAAATATTTGAAAGAAATATATATTGGAATATGTTGTTGTAGTAAATGCATGAAAAATGTTGTTGTAAATATAAATATTTTTGAAATCTTTAATTATATATGCATCTTGAAATAAGTGTTGTTTGTGTAAGTAATTTTAAGGCTGGTCCACACTACCGTAAACCTCCGACTATAAGCCCCCCCCCCCAATATAAGCCCCCCCCCGTGTATAAGCCCACCACATGTACTAACGCTCACCTCATTCCAAGTATAAGCCCTCCCGAATATAAGCCCTCCCAGATATAAGCCCACTTGTTTATCACTATTTTTGCTATGCTTGTTTAACACTAAGTCTTGTTTATCACTATTACACTAACACAAAAGGTCGTACATGTATAAGCCCCCCCCCCCCTGTATATAAGCCCACCCTTGTATAAGCCCATCAAAAATTGCTTACGAAAGTATATAAGCCCAGGGCTTGTAGTCTGAGGTTTATAGTATCAAAGTTTCTGTGATGACAGTAGGAATTTTGCATAGGTAAATTCTAAGTTTTGAATTGTTTTTAACACTGAGTTGGTTCCCTCAAACATTTCTTACAAATCATTCAAAACACGGAATTGACCGATGCAAAATTCCTACTGTGATCACAGAAACTTTCATAGTGTATACCAGACTTTACTGTAAAGTCCATTATAATTTCACCTCAGTCAGATGTGAGAAGAGTGCTTCCAGTTTGAGTCTACCAAACACCACATGCCTGCTTCCTCAACCTGCAGAGATCGAGGATCAGTGGCCTTGACCTTTGAAGACACTAGTTTATTTTTGTTTTCTTCACGCGTAAATAGGCTAGTAGATACTTAAAGTAAAAATAACATTTCCTGTAGTAAGTTGCATAAATCTATCAGCACAAAGGGGAAACAACAATACATTATTTCAACACATCATTAAATGACCTCAAAGCACTAATTAGCTATTAACAATGTCACATCCCTGCCAAAATTGAGTTAAACAACGGGTGTTAAACTATTTTTCGCCAAGATCATTGTCAACCTATAATTGTAGCTTATTTTAGACGCTTTGAAAAAAGCAGAGGTCGTCAAGCAACCTATGTACTACTTGCACAAAAACTTCACACAAAATTAAATATAATTATTAAAATCACTACTTTCATAGTAAGAATATCTACATTAAATATCTACTATGTACAATATTTATATAGCAATTATAATCACTCGTAACTATATGTACACACACTTTAATTAATTAAAGTAGCAATTAATTTTAAATGATTTCATTATTTCTTAATTAATTAGAATGTAATTAACGAACGTCCGTTGGTTCTCCCAACTCATCTTTAATCAGTTTTAGTTTTGATTGAACCTGTGGGTTAATTAATGAAGGTTAATTACTAATTGATTAATTAAATGAAAAGCATATGATAATTTTAAAGCGATGTGGCTCATATTCTAAGCATTATTGTAAAATATCAAGAAAAAAACGAGATACTAACATTTTCAACTGATAAAATTAAATCTTTTAATGCTTGGTTAAATCTAAAAGATATGAAACAACTCGTTGTTATTTTAGATAATTTATGTATTTTTATATCTACTTTTTAATATTTCCAATATATACAATTTTATTCCTTTTAACCATTTCTATACATTTTCCCCACATCCCTGGCACTTCTAAAATAAACTCTTGTATATTAGAATTAAATATTAAATACATTACCTTTGAGTTTTTTGGTGAAATCTTGTCTCATCGAATCTTAATCCCTCGGATTGTTTGTCAGTTCTGTTGATAGAAAATGAAAAATGTATTCACACTAATATTTTATCAGAAACGTGTTGGCCCAGTGTAGTTGGTACTCTACAACAAGCTGTCGTGGTTTGCGTTTGAACTACCTGAAAAAAATATTTCAAACGTGGTGGTCCAGTGTAGGTAGTAATCTACGAAAAGCTGCCGCGGTTTGTATCTTCTTCAGGAGTTAGAGAGATGTTTGCTTTTCAAGGTAGTTCAGGCACAAATCACTTTGTTTGAGAAGCGAACTGTACTTTTGATACCCTGCTGGCACTTTTTGAGAATTCAATTTGAATACAATAACTTAGGAGGCATAACAACAACTTGTAATTCAGAAAAACGTACATTAAATTTTGGTCAGAACCAGGTAGAGTTCGGTGAAAACGATCTTCCAACTTCGCAATCCGATCCATTAAAACGTACGTTGATATCAATAATAAAATTACACTAAAAGTAAATAAAATCAAAATTCAGAGATTTCGAAAACTTTGGTTTCTTCCAACATTAATTAACCATAATTGCAAAATATTTAAATCTGTTTGACCGGTTTTGCATACCAGTTGATTGAATTAATAAATTGTTGATAACTTACAAAAATGAAGATATCAATAAAAAGTTTTCCGTACTGAATTTATTTCTGAAGGAAAAAAAAATAACATGATTAATGCACTTGAAATTGACTTGCCTATTCGATAGTGTGTGTTCTCCTTTCATTCTTCTTTTGTTGGACTAATATTTTCCGAGATTTGCACTCGATAGTATGTATATTAGTATCATCGAGTACCAAGTCTCGGAAAATATTAGTCCAACAAAAGAGGAATAAAAGGAGAACACACACTATCAAATAGGCTGAAGTCAATATCATTTTAAAATTTATATTTTATCACATTTTTTACTATAATATACATTACTATACTGACCCTTGCGAGATTTGGGCCGCTGTGGTTGAATTAACAAGATTATGTTAGGTGGACTATTACCAAGAATTCCTGGACATCACTATAATCCGTGTACAACTGCACCATATGGAGTACAACTTATAAACACGAAGTCTTAGAAAACTGACCTTTTAAATAGCCATTCCAATGACGACAACCAGTAGTATAAATTTTTTATAACATTACAGGAAACTCTTGATATTCCTATTAAAAAGTTGAACAAATTTGTTTAAAAAATGTGACTATTAACTGAAGCCTGGTTTACCCTATCAAAGTTTCTGTGATCACAGTAGGAATTTTGCATCGGCAAATTCTACGTTTTGAAGGACTTGTAAGAAATGTTTGAGGGAAATGACTCAGTATTTAACATTGAAACGGTTCCCTCAAACCAGGCTTTTAGCCAGGGTCCTAAAAGAGGGCGTCCAATTTTGGTATAACAATACATCCACAGTAAAGGGTTCGAGAAAACGTTCCTCTGAAAACTTTTGAAGTTTACGTCACTTCATGTCAGTATCTGTTCCAAGCTCGTTCGAAATTTTTCAAACACACTTGGCGTTGTAAGTTTGTGCCGCTATGCTTCTTTACTTAATTATGACATTTTCATTCATCCTGGTACACCATCAAATTGATCAAAATGTCAAATGTATAATAATAATGAGAATTGAAGCTATTTCGTTTCAGATATATTAATATACTTACGGAAATAATTTAAAATAATTTCCCTTTTCCCCCAGAATTTGGACGTCCAAAGGCGTCCATTTTTCGTTCTAGGGGCGTCCCAGGACGCCTGGACGGCCTTCTGGCTAAAAGCCTGCATCAAACATTTCTTACAAATCCTTACAAATTTATTTGTGTGTGTGTATTGTGAAGTAATCAGTTCCCAATAAAGCTGTCTAATCAGAAACTTGCCAATGTAAACCAGTGTTAATCAACTGACACAGTTGTTTTCTAACGGATGGATACTCACCACTAGAGATATTTTTTATTGAACTGGTAGACCACGATCTTCTGTGGGTTTGATGATCTTTATGACGAGCTGTGGATATTTCAGATTGTTCTTCTATACTGGAGTGACGAGATAGTGGAGTGTTTGGACATGATACTGTGCGATGGTGTTTGGCCAGCTTCCATAATGCTGGGTCTGAAACATAGGGTACAAACAAATACTGAATACGGTGACACACA